TAAATGTGTCAATACAGCTGATTCGTTTTGAACATCTGAACGGGGGAAAGATTTTTGAAAGAGAACCATAAAGGCTCAAGTCGAATCCGAATTGCACTCGAGAGAACGGAGATGGTCCAGTAGTTGTTGTATGTAGCAGGTATTCAGACAATATGGCTCACGTGTTACTGCGCCAAATAAAAACTAACGTTTCAACACAGTTCCCTACGAAAATAAGGATTACGGCAGCCAGGAGCAATCTGCCTTTGTTTCTCATGGGACGGATCGATAGGTTTCGGAAAAAGAAGGCTACGCAGGGATTCACGGTGACATGTAGTAAACACAATTGTGTAGGTTGGTCGATTATGAACGAATCTTGACTGCTCCCGTGATAAGTTCATTGTCAGTGTCTTCAGGTCCGGAGTTGGACGATATGTCAGAGACACAGGAATAGTCCCCATGAGGTCAAGCACACTGCAGTTTTAGTCTGATGAACCTCCCCTTATTTTGCTTTAGAAACTAAAGACATTTTTCACTTCTTACGTACACTCGCTCAAGTGTACTAGGACTTTCAATTTTTTGACCCAGGTAATCAAAAGTGCAATGTTAATATACCCCTTCGTGTGCAGGGAATGCAGGTTTCCAAGTATCTATCAATTGTCAAGCAAGATCGTTCTTAAAAATTTTTTCGCACATTATGGAGACCTACAGAGGTGATCCCAATAAGCAGACAGTTCGACACAGAACTCGCTTTGTCCCGCCTAGTGCCACGTTCTACTGTTAGATTTATGTAGTGTTACTCAAGCTCACTACATGCCTATTAGGAGTAATATATCCGCCGATGTTGCTTAGAATACCGGTTTAGTAGACCGAATTTTTCGACGAACTTCTCATGACTGGAGAACTCAGCGGATTACACGTGTTTGAACTACACTCCAAAGCACCGATAAGAAAGACGACTTTCCATCCTGTAGTACTTGCTCTACACTTGACTTCCAATGCACAGTACAGCTCGATAACATCGTAACCGATGTGAATAGTTGGAGGCGTGATTGCTTTTATAGTATGTCCACCAAATTGTCAATACTCGAAGACTNTGCAGGTTTCCAAGTATCTATCAATTGTCAAGCAAGATCGTTCTTAAAAATTTTTTCGCACATTATGGAGACCTACAGAGGGTGATCCCAATAAGCAGACAGTTCGACACAGAACTCGCTTTGTCCCGCCTAGTGCCACGTTCTACTGTTAGATTTATGTAGTGTTACTCAAGCTCACTACATGCCTAGTAAGAGTAGCATATCCGCCTATGTTGCTTAGAATACCGGTTTAGTAGACCTAATTTTTCAACGGACTTCTCATGACTGGAGAATTCAGCGGATTACACGTGTTTGAACCACACTCCAAAGCACCGATAAGAAAGACGACTTTCCATCCTGTAGTACTTGCTCTACACTTGACTTCCAATGCACAGTACAGCTCGATAACATCGTAACCGATGTGAATAGTTGGAGGCATGATTGCTTTTATAGTATGCCCACCAAATTGTCAATACTCGAAGATTATTGCATTTGACCATTGCATTTAGAAAGAGAGTCAAGGAAACGCGACTTATCCCCTCCTATGCCGCTTACGGTTCATATTTGCTACCCTCAGTTTCAATTAAACTTGATATTAAGAAATACTATACATTTCCTCACCGGTCACGCTCCATAGAATTATGCAAGTCCTTCCGCCACCCTTGTCTTTAGGTGGCTGAAATCGGTGGCATATCGGGAAATAAGCAAAGCAAAAAGGTTCCGGTGGAGCCTGCCACCACTACTTCCCTGCGCTCTAGCGCTTAGTATTAAAGACGGATTGTGTTCCCTTGAATACATTCCATCGGTTTGGGTTTCTTTCAGGTCTTCTATGTTGACTATTTTGTAAAGTAAATCGGTCGAGCAAGTTTCTCAACGAAAGTTAGACCTGTGTTCCGACAGCCTTCTCCTAGATTCGATGAACTTCAACAGCAAGGAGCGAGCCGCCAGCAAATACAATGATTTTGTATAAATATGTCCAGATTCGTAACAAACAATACTGTCTGAGTTTTTTTCTTATAAATTTAGGTTTTATTTTAGGTATTCCTATTACTAAGGAGTTGAGCCGTTTTCTCTCATATCACAGAAACTTTTAGCACAAAGAATATTGTAACGAAATGACGCAAGTAACGACAAGTAATTATGGCCGGTCCTCAAACAGGAGTCAACAATAACACAAGAAACTCTTTATCGCAAATGAGCGAACGACACAAAAAAAAACAGCTCAAATCAGAAAAGGATGGCGTAGCGCCGCAACACAACGAAGTGATTGCCTAATGGTAGTGACGACGGCTTATGTGTACCTATTTCCCGCGCGATGGTCAAAAAGAACAAGAACAAATCAATCGTATTCAAGGGCCTATCGCTTACATTCCCCCACGGTGAAGAGGTGATCTTTTCAGCTTACTGATAAGATATTCTACCACGATACAATTGCCGCTCTCTGAGAGGTCCTCGCTTGACGGTCATGCTTTGGTGTGGACATGAGCAATCAATATGGGAATGTACGGTTGACACTTCGATACGGATGTTCCTAGCATTCCTGTCCGGAACGATTTTCTCGCTTGGCCTTGAGGTAGTTTCGTACACGTTGATTTCGATGTGTCGAGGTCCTGACGAAACGATGAAGATTGATTTCTGGCTTTACATACTCCCTTAGAACCTGCATATATCCAATCACTGTTTCTTCTGAATAAACGTCAGCATCAGAATTCCTTCGATGTACTGACTGTCCATGTGAAGGTTCGCATGTGCATTCTATCATCGGTATCAGGCTGACAATATTTCGCGACATAAGCGCAACCGACTTCCTTGCAAGTTCAACGGCCTGGTTCAGCTCCATCCCATCATATGCTGTGTCTCCACTGGGTATAACGATCAACAGAATTTCCATTCCATTACGAGCCGCTGTTGCTATCGCCGATGCCAGTTCACACCATTCCTTTTTTGGTGGCGGAACAGCACATGTAGGACCAACGAGTATACACGCATTCGCTCTTGCCGTGTCCAGCCACATGATTACTTCACTTGGTTTCCAGTACACTTTCCTCTCGACTTGGCCCTATATCGTATCGAGTTCTCGGAATGCGTCGGGCAGCAGCAGCAATGTTGTTTCCTCTTTTTGCCTTGCAGCGACTACGTCCATCCACAAGTGCACCTTTGCGAACCGTGCCCCCTCGCTGTTCCTCTCATTCAGTTGACCGATCGGGAAACCCGTTCCGCCGTCATGAGGTGGACTAAGAAGAGAGCCGTCGTGCAAGCAGTACTTCGAAAAACATGATGGCAATACTGCTTAAAAAAGTCAGTGCTTTCTGCACCCCCGATATAGTAACAGCTTATGTATACCTTTTTTCCGCGCGATGGTCAAAAAAAACTAGATCAAATTAATTGTATTCAAGGGCCTATCGCCTACATCGTCCCGGGGTGAAGAGGTGCCCTCACCTCTTCGGCTTTTGGCAGTTTTGGGAAGTTCCGTGCGCATTTTTCTCTTGGTAGCTTAAGGAAAACTCTGTCTCCTACTCTTGGTGGTTTCTGTGAGTATGTATTATGACGCTTGTCGTACTCCTCTTTCATTTTCTGTTTCTATTACCCATTGAGTTCTGTAGGCATTCCTGGGCCAACCGAATCCCTGCCAGTAGTTCGCACTTATAATCATCAGCGTCGAAGTAATTGAAAGGTACACCGTCTTGAGAGATTACACTAGAAGGATAGTGAGGATCCATGGCGCGCAGCAGGTAAAACGGACTTTCTCCTGTAAAGCTATCAGGTAAAGAATTGTATGCGAATACTACCATGGGAAGAAGAAGATCCCAATCGGTGGTATGATAGTCTTTTTCCTTGGCATTCGTGTTAATGTGCCAACCACCCTCTCTGTCATTCCGTTTTCTCGTGGGTTGTAACCTTTCGTCACTACTGCTCGATTCCTGTTATCTTGCATACTTCTGAAAGAATGAAGTTAATGAACTCGGGACCTTGGTCTGAATTAATTCGCTTAGGCCACCTACACCCTTCACAAATCCAGCGCTCAAACAGCGCACTAACTACTGTTCTTGCCTTCTTATCTGGAATAGCATACGAACCTACGAACTTTGAGAAATGATCTATCACTACTAGGGCGAATTTGTTGCCCCTTTCAGTCAGGCCATACTCTACCAAGTCTACTCCACTTGATTCACACAGGCCATTAGTAGTGATGGCTTTAATGGTGGTGTTTTCATTTCATGCGCTCTTGAAAAAAACAATTTGAGCATTCTTTTGACCATTTTGCAATGTCGGTCTCCACGCCTTCCCAGAATACCACCTTTTCAGCCTGCGATATGACTTACGCGCGTTGAGATGTTCTGCTACGGTACCTCCGTGTGCTTCATTGAATACTTCCCTTCTCTTCGACTTGGGTACCACTTTTACAGAACAATTTTCAAAAATCATTTTGAGCTCGACCGTGTCAATAAAGAAATCAGCCACGCGAAACTTACGCGAGCATCTCGTCAGTTTTACGTCTACGTGGTCATTTCCGTGTTCAGTCTCCTTCAGAATCTCCTTATAATCATTGTCTTCTTTGAGTTCATTTGGCCACTCCTTATTTCCTGCTGCCGACTCGCAGATGACTATGCTAGGATTATGGTACTCGTCCTTTTTTTCGTCATCTACTGGGCCTGCCACACTCCGAGATAACGCGATCGCCACTGCGTTGGCTTTCCCGGCCACAAACTCAATTTTTATTCGATAGTTTTGGATTTTTCCAAGGCTTATCGCAACACTCTTGCGGATATGTTAGTCTTTTCAAACAAGCATGTTAGTGGCTGGTGATCTGTTCGGATCACATCCAATCCATTGACAGAGAAATGGAATTTCCTCCACGCAAAGACAACCGCTAGAGCTTCCAAGTCCGTGTGTGGTAATTCTGTTCGGCTTTAGTAAGGGGTTTTGAAGCGATGAAGATTGGGTGCAGAAGCAGATCATCGCCCATCTGGCAGAGGACGGCACCCACTCCTTCTTTAGAACCGTCAGTATATATGGTGAATGGTCTTGTTCCGTTTTCAGCTGCAACCACGTTTGGCTGTGCTAACACTGGCGCGGAAAACATAGCTCTTTTGGTGCTACGGTGGCGGTGCTAGTGCAGTGCACTTCCCCATGAATCGCTCCGCATCTAAAGCAACCTCCTCTCTCTGCGTTAATCACCTTCCTCTCCCTCAGGCTCGTGTACATCCTACGACCTAGGAAATAGTGGACTTTCCACAAAAGAAACATCTCGCGGATGGATGTTCTTCACGTAGCTGCGGGGTCTGCGATCTTTCCCTATGTTCTGCGCCACCCCTATCTGGTCTTTCATACTCCGTGGGAGGAGCCTTGGGGCATCGCGGCGATTGTCTCCCGCTATCTTGTAGCTGTATTTGCGATGTGGACTTTTGCGAAGGACTGCGTTGTCGCTGTGGTACACTAAGCCGCTGAAATGGTGGTGTAAGGCGCTCTGGTAGGGTCTGCGGTGAGCGTGAACGCGGCTGCTGCGATGGTGATAACTGTTCTAGACGCTCTCTCTGCTGCGGCGGTATCTGCGGCGATGTTGCTACGCGTTTGGACTCTGCCTGAGCGCTGCCTCTACGATGCTGCAGATGCTGCGTTTGCTTCAACTGTGATGCAAGTGTGCGTGATAGTTCTCCGAGCACAACCCTAGCCTCTGCGGTCGCTGCTCTGGCTGCTGCGGCTACTTCCTGCAAATCCGCCCAATGTACTTCATAGTACGCCAACAAGTCTATTAGCCGCGGCGGCTGTTGTTGCCCCATGTAAGTTGGATTTGGAACTGCGTAACGGGCAAACGTTGAGGTGGTCGATGTTGTGCACCAGGGTATGGATGTGCTCAATTTGCGCGAAGACCGTAGCTGCACCCGGAAAGCTCTGTTTCTGCGAGGCTTCTGCGAGATAGTCTACAAGCTTCTGCGTAAGGGTACGAACACCTCTAAAGTTTTGCACAATCTCGAAGATCGTGAAATATGGGTACCCCGCTTGCTCTTGCTGCGCCCAAATCGGGCAGTATAAACTCCTTCGTAGAGTAGCTGCGAATCATACGATGGTAGCCTGAGCGCAGAAAGGCGTCGATGGCAACGTGTTTATGGGTCCCCAAGTGTTCGGTCCTAAGGACACTGCCAAGGTTCAGTGAGAATGGTAAGCGCTGAAGAAGAAAAAGGAAGGCTTTACCTTCATACGCAAATACGGCGAGCTGGGACTCGTTGTCCTCACTTAGGCGCAATGTGACGTCTGGTTGTGCCTGCCAGGGACAGAAGGCGCTCTGCAACAGCTGGTCTTCTTACAAAGGGTTTGTGCCACTCTGGATGACCCTTCGTATATGCGTCGCCTCTTACCCCTATAGGTGATTCCGACACCCTTATATCTGCGCGCGGCTCATCTGCTCTCGAGCGTGTGAGTTCCTGTCTCAATTGCGTAATCCCTCGCTTGCATGCCTGACCTATATGTTATGCGGTGCTGCGCTGCAGGAAGTGAATCCTCCGCGGCTGTCCTCGCTCCTTACGGCCGCGATCGTAAGTGCGGCTGTGAAAGCAACGATAGTGACCGCGAATACTACTGAGACTGTCTCGACGACGATTGCTTAGCCTGTGATGCGGTTTGCTCGAGATGATAAAGTCTGCCTACACGAGCGGTGTTCTCAGACATTTTACTAGTTTCGGGGAGATCAATCCCGATGTTCACTCAATTACCAGGAATTGTTTAATACAAGACTGCGATTAATGATGACAATAACGCGTCACGTATCACGACCCGAAGCGACAGATGTAAATGTGCGTGCAAAATGAATGTGCAAAGTATATGCAAAGAAATGTCTGAGAGAAATACATAAAGAAAGAAAAATAGTACCGATGGTTTGGTCAGTGTGTCAGTTATTGATGACATTGGTGTCGTCCGTTAACAGTGATGAAAGAAAAGATAGAGAGAAGAAGAGGAATAGAGGTGTGAATAAATATGAAATCTGCGGAAAAGGTGACTAAATATGTTAAATGAGTGCTTTTACTAATATGAAACACAATAACGCTAAAACTGAGCTTTTAAAATAAAAAATGAGGTAATAATTTAAAGCCTAAAAAGGCTTAGTGCTTTCGCACAATGCGGAACCGCGAAAAATAATATGCAGCTAATAATTTGCACACTTATGACGCTATTGTAACGTAAGGAAGTGCGTCCATTAAACGTCAGTACGCTTACCGTAAATATGCCATCATGGCGCACTCCAATAAAGACGCTCCGACAGTACGGAATAATGAATAGTAAGCAATAAAGTAAATTTTTAGTAGTAAGTAAAAGTAAATTTGATAGGCAGCGTAAAAGGAGAATGTGCGCGTAAAATATAGTAAATGCGCACTCAATGAATGAGAAGAGGAAAGAGAAAGTGCGATAGAATGCAATAAATAACTTGACAAGAATAAACTTGTCTAGGAACGACATCAATGGCACTGCGAAACAAAAAGTTACACACTACAAAAGCTAACGCAATTGTGCTACCTGACCAGTCCACCGCCCTGGCGATAGGAAAGAAGAGAGAAGATGCGTATAGGAATACCATGTCGCGTGTCAGTAGAATAGCGAATAGCAATGTCGCTGCGGATGAAAGTGCGGAGATGGTGGTGATTTCGCAGCATACGTGTGATCAGCCGGATTTCGAAAGTAAGCTTTACCGAGGCCGTGCTCGCGTTTTGTTCTAGTAAAGCTTAATGGACTTACCTTGGTAGAATAACGTACGAAACGAATATATCGCAGAACGATCAGCTACGGATGAACTTGAACAGCGTCTTGCGACTTGAATAGGTTGCGTTTTCTGCGGCAGCTGTGATGTTGTTCTTTCTACTGCCTGCGCGAGTCTGATGTACAAAAACATTTCACCTGAATTTGCGAAGGATGCAAGTGCGCTGTTATTCGCATAAAAAGTTTTCCGCTTCATGTGCGGGCATCTGTTATTCATGTTATGCGGCGCTGCGACGTATTTGGATGGTCGCATACGCAGCGGAT